AGTAGAGAGGTACGACTTTGAACGCATAGATAAGGTAAGAAATAACAGGGAAAGAGAGGGAGAGTAGAGACGTACGACTTTGAACGCATAGATAAGGTAAAAAATAACAGGGAAAGAGAGGGAGAGTAGAGAGGTACGACTTTGAACGCATAGATAAGGTAAGAAATAAACGTCCATAATGCGGTCAAAAATTCGTGGCGCAACTTATCCTCAAATCTTTAGAACGGGTGAATCAAAGTCACATTTTGTCACCCATACTTTACCCGGCAGTTCGCATCAGTTTGTCTTTGCTTATTCACATTTCCCCCACAACAACTGAAGCTAGATTTTTAAAAAAACTGTTCTTTTAAAATTTCTATAAAATACAATAAATGTCCGTCAGGGGAAACATGGGCGTGTTCCCAGCACTGGCCGCTCCTCACAAACTGTTTATGTATATTATGATGGCCCACGCCACAGCTCACCATTGACACTTTTTCCTGGCAAAACTTGTTTCAAGAAATTAATTTTACAGTGAACACTTTTTTTTTCATCAGGGTTTTGAAAGCTTACGTTCAATGACATAATGTCGTGATTTGAAAGAAAATGACGGACTTGCTTTTCAAAGCGATATTGCCTCTGCTGTAAATCTTTTAAAATCTGCAGAAACCATCCAATGGGATTGCTAACTAGTTGTTAAGGAATTTTCTAGAATATAGCTAACAGGTGTTTACAAAAACATAGACTTGTTAAGACAAATGGATACAAGTCATTGTGCAAAAGCTGGAGAGTTTCTGTTCGATAGTTGAGGAGATATTGGACAACAAATTGCGCCACGACAATTAGACCGCACTATGCTATTGACCTCAAACAGCCCACACAGCACTGTGTCCAACTGCTAACATAATTAACCCTTTTGGAGCTGATCGAGGCGTTTCTTTTGACATTTGTCCAGACCAGACCAAATATTCCTTCTACAGACATCTAAATAAAGCCATGATAGCTTTCTCCTCTACATGAAGTTTTTAAAGTGTTGATAAAATACATAAATAGAACATCGCACACATTGCATATTGCGCGTCTTCCAAAAACATCCTATTTAAACCAACAGGAGAACACAGCCATTGTAAGTGAAGCATCTATGTAGAACACACGTGAGTAAAATGTCTCACGTGCACGCAGCAGTGAGGAGCAGAGATTTCTCCTGACATCAAAGATGGCAGAACGTCACCTCGCCTGATTGCGTAGGCCGCGACATTAACACACATTCATGGGGACTGCAGCAATTAAAGGACGGTCCAGCCCAATAAAACAGTAACCACCGGAGGAATATGAACCCCATAACTCCCGACTGTTGATGACTGGGCCCGCCTTCTGACAAGGTTTTACGGATCGATGTCATCATTCTGCATTGTCGTATGTCCAAAGTTGAAAACACGAAAATTAGGAATACTGTAGTGGGTGGTTGGTGGGTGCCCTGGTGTGGTTTGCACCTTCTTTCCTATCAAACATCTACCGTCCTTCGCTCTCCTCCTTCTTTCCTATCAAACATCTATCGTCCTTCGCTCTCCTCCTTCTTTCCTATCAAACATCTATCGTCCTTCGCTCTCCTCCTTTTTGGTGTTTGTTACTCTCTTGTAACACACAATCTAATCTTCGGCATTTGTATGACTTTATTGTGTTGTAAGTGCCGTAAAACTCTTACTAAAACTAAACCAAGAATGTTGTAGAGTTGGATAAGACGCAGTTATTGTTCTTTGTCTCAATCCTTTTTTTAAAGATACTGTCGACTTCGACAAGGGGAACATTTCGTACTATGATAATGACTGCACGGGGTGAAACAGCTGTTTGCTGCCCCTGGAAACATGGTATTTGGACATACGACAATGATGAATGACATCGACGGTGTATATTGATACAGTTGGGGGGAGGAGGGGAGGAGGAGGGGGGGGGAGATAATTCCCACCTTGTTGTCTGACGTTGGACCGTCGGTCACAGACCTCATCAATTATGCAAAGTGTCCCGGGGTTATATAAAAAGTAGCCATTATCTGAGGAGATATGTATCAAACGGTTTTTGTTTCTTTTCTTTTCTTATTTTCTTGTGGACTAATTGGACGTGTCAGTCGTCGTTTTGTCGGCGGCCGTGAGCAGCCACAGGACGCCAGAACCTGACAAGGGCAATAGTCGAGCAACAAGAAAGCGAAGGCTGAAGGCAGAACAACAAACCCTGACGTCCCGGAGGAACAGATTGGCAGATACCAGAGCTGTTGGCTTAGTGTCTGGTGAGTAGAGTTCCTGTCAACACGTACACATCATCATCATCATCATCATCATCATCATCATCATCATCATCACCATCATCATCATCATCATCATCATCATCATCATCATCATCATCATCATCAATGCCTTTCACCCCTGGCAGGCTATAGTAAAATGGGGGAATTCCACACCATACTTTTCAATTGGATTGTGAGACAAGTGTTGTTCTAGAAGCTACTTTGTGTAGAAAGAGGACACATCCTCCACAACAGTTTTACTTTGGCTCTGAGAAGTTAGGAAACAAAACATACTATGAATTCTACGATATCACCATCCCCAAACTTCCATTTTTCAACTTAATTAAAAATTTAGTACTGTGCAGCAATTCCACACCCACACGAGCACACACGCCAAAATGAAAATAAAAAGACAGACATACAAGAAATTAAAGCTGAAATGAAAAATAAAACCTGGCAGACAGAAGCAAATGATTAAAGCTGAATGTCAAACAGATTTCTGATGGTTCTGAGGGCTGTAAATGTGTGTGTGTGTGTGTGGGGGGGGGAAGGGGGGAATTCCCCCACCTTCCCATATAGGCCACACACAAGCTCCTTCCATTTATCTCTCTCCTGGGCCATCTTTCACCCCTGGCAGGGTATAGGCCACATACAAGCTCCTTCTATTTATCTCTGTCCTGGGCCATCCTTCCAAGCTCGTTCCAAGTGAGCTTCATCTCTCTCATGTCCCTTTCCACGCATCTCCTCCATGTCTCTCGTGGCCTACCCCTGCCTCGTGCTCCCTGTGGGTTCCACTGCAGTGACTGTCTTGTGATGTTTCCGCTGGGCTTTCTTACGGTGTGTCCTATCGGATAGAGAGTTCTTGATGTATATCTAACAATTTTTTAGGCTACCTAAAATTTCTTTTAAACTTTTTTCTGGTGGTTCTGGCTTAAGGCTACATTGATTCCTTGAGGATTTGTTTATGAAGAATTCGATGCACTTTTCCATTTCTTTGTCGGCCATTTTCATCAATTTTATGTTTTCTTAAGAGCAACTTTGTCTCTGCATTTTCAAATTTGGATACTTTTCCTGTAGAGCTTTCCGACCTCTAGGACTGACTTACATTTGATCACATTGTCTTGCTCAAACAAGTTCTATTCATGATATCACTTACTCAATAGTTGCGTCTGTTTGTTTGTTTTTTTTCCTTCAATTTCACAGACCACTTCCACCTACGTACAGTGCGTACATTGTATATTCAAATGCTTTGTATTCTGTTTATATTTTAGAAATGAATGACCTAATTTGTCAAATATACTGGATATGTTATTCAATATGATGATGTTTTGCATTAGCACTGAAGTGTTTTAGCAAATTAGCAGAAAGTACTCAAAATGTACTCATAGTACTTTAAAAAAGTACTTGTACTTAAATACATTTTGTAGGAAAGTATTTTTTACTGTACTTAAGTACATTTTTAGATTGTACTTAAATTTGTACTTAAGTACTTTTTTAGAACAGCTCTGCCGATGATACCAATTCTGGTACAGAAATGTTTGTCACATTTCAGCATTCAAAGTCTCCGCTTCCATTTATGGATGTGCACAGCTGGCGGGCTTTTCTCTTGGTTTTCGCATTTCTTATTCGTGTAGCCTGATGTTGTTGTTGTTGTTGTTGATGTTGTTATGTATCCAGGGGTCATACCTGCTCCCATCCTGTTGATCAAAACTAGACACACAGCAGATAGAACTTTGTAATTCTCGGAGACCTTCACAAGTGCAGGTTAGTACGGTACCACAGCTATGTTCAATACGGTGTTTTGTCAGAGTTTGGTCTGTCATAGGGTGTCTTGTCAGAGTTTGGTCTGTCATAGGGTGTTTTGTCAGAGTTTGGTCTCTCATAGGGTGTTTTGTCAATGTTTGGTCTGTCATAGGGTGTTTTGTCAATGTTTGGTCTGTCATAGGGTGTTTTGTCAATGTTTGGTCTGTCATAGGGTGTTTTGTCAGAGTTTGGTCTGTCATAGGGTGTTTTGTCAGAGTTTGGTCTGTCATAGGGTGTTTTGTCAATGCTTGGTCTGTCATAGGGTGTTTTGTCAGAGTTTGGTCTGTCATAGGGT